TTACTTCAGTTTTAAACTCTTTGTTAAGGTAAGAATCTGCTTCCAATGTACTGTCCCAAGCTTTGGGGGTTTGTACAGCTGTTTTCAGAGATACTTGTAGGGACCTGTAAATTTTCAGTTCTTGCAAGGTGGTATGATAAGGGGCAAGGTGTTTACTACTTTCCTGGCCTGTGCTCTGATCTATTAGTGACCACAAGAACTCCTTTCTGTCCTGGAACTGTGAGGAGGGTTTTCTCCTCATAGCCACTACAAGCTCCACCATGCCAACACTCCTCCTCACCCCAGTACCGCCACCCAGAACTGTGACCCAGATCCAAGCACAGGCAAAGCAAGAGATTCCCACCTCAGCACTGGCAAAGCGATCCCTGCAGTCCCCCTCTGATCAGCTACTCGATTCCCCCTCAGTCTGCGGGCCGGAAGCTCAGGACGCAGCCACAACTCTGGTGCCACACTCAGTGCTCTGGAACTGGCTTTGAAACCTAGCTCCTCTCTCAGCACTGCAGAAACAGACTTTTCCCACTGACCTTCTAAGTTGTCTTTGGCATGGGTGGGGAATCTAGAATCTGCCACAGCTGCCCATGGAGATTCAGTCCTCTGAGGCCTGCATGCCCACACTGCACTGAGCTCCTATACCTGCCTGGCACGATATATCTTTCTGATCAATCACCCAGGTTGTCTTGGGCTGGAAATTTGCTTCACTCTGTCTTTTTGTGGGTTCTGCTGCTTTAGAATTTGTTTAGAGTCATTTTTTATTGGTATTTGGAGGGGTTTGGGGAGAGCTCAAGGAAGTCACTGCTTTCACTCTAACATCTTGGCTCCACCCCGAGAAGAAAGTTTTGAAAAGCAAGATTGGCCAAATGGAAAAAGACATTCAAAAATTTGCAGAGGAGAAGAACCGCTTAAAAAATAGAATTGGCCAAATGGAAAATGAGGTATAGAAGCACACTGAAGAAAATAATTCCTTAAAAATTAGAACTCAGCAAGTGGAAGCTAATGACTATGCGACATCCAGAAACAGTAAAACAAAATCAAGAGGATGAAAAAAAAGAAGAAAATGTGAACTATCTCATTGTTGCCCGCAACCAGATAGTACACCGAACGGAAAGGTGCAAAATAAACGTGAGACGTGGGCCAGGCCGAGCAGCAGAGACTTACTCAGTTTATTCATCGAAGGGTACAGGATATATAGAGAAAATCTATCCAAACTTCAAAAAGTGCTTCCTGTGAGACACTCCCCAAAACATCTGCTAAGGATATGACAACATACATTTCCTCGTTATCAGAGTTCCTAGATAGAGTTAATTCCAAGGCTTTTTCCTGGTGCGCCTGTATAGAGGAGTGAATATGTAAATCTAAGGTTCAAAGAGTGAGAAGGAATGTCTCAAGAGCCTCCTAGCAGGGGGAGATTTGGAGAGCCCTGGTTCTTAAAAGATTGAGCCCTTTGGGTTTAAGCCTGGGCAAAAGTCAAACTCTGTCCTGGATCTTAAACCCATATCGGACTCTTAAGGCCGACCCTCTACATCTCATTGCAAAAAGAAGTGATCTGGAAAATGGATTCAGGAGAGATAACTTAAGAATTACTAGACTACCTGAAGGTTATGATCAAAAAAAGAGCCTATATACCATTTTTCAAGAAATTATCAAGAAAACTGTGCTGATATTCTAGAACCAGAGGGTAAAATAGAAATTGAAAGAATCTACCAATCATCTCCTGAAAGAGATCCCAAAATTAAAACTCCTAGGAATATTATAGCTAAATGCCAGAGGTCAAGGAGAAAACATTGCAAACAGCCAAAATGGAACAATTAAAATACTGTGGAGCCACAGTAAGGATAACAAAAGATCTAGCAGTTTCTATGTAAAAGGAACAGAAGACATGGAATATGATTTCTGGAGGGCAAAAGAGCTGTTGTTGTTTGTCCTTCATTCTTGAAGAGGACCATACATCAGGGAGGTGATGCCATAACATGCAAGTGAATTGGATTTAAGTGAGGGAGGGTTATGCAAAATCACTAGCCTCACTTTGTCCTCCAGAGCCATTTGGGTCCAGTGGCAAGATAAAGATCAGAACTGGAGATGGCCCTGGATGCAGTGGGAGACCTTGGCCTTTTTTGGCTAAGGTCTTTAACAGGTCTCAGTTTGAGGCAACACCCATTCAGTGATTCAGGCTAAAGAACTAGGATTACAACCAAGAATCACCTACCCAGCAAAACTGAGTATAATCCTTCAGGGGGAAAAATGGATAGTCAATGAAATAGAGAACTTTCAAGCATTCCTGATGAAAAGACCAGAGCTGAATTGAAAATTTGACTTTCAAATACAAGACTCAACAGGAGCATAAAAACGTAAACAGGAAAGAGAAATCATAAGGGATTCAATAAGGTTATACTCTTTACATTCCCACATATAAAAATGATACTTTATAACTCCCAAAAATTTTCTCATCAGGGCTGTTAGAAGGTATACACGGAGATAGAGGGCATAGGTATGAGTTGAATGTCTAAAAAATAAAATTAAGGGGTAAGAAAGAGGAATGCACTGGGAGAAGGGGAAAGGGAGAGGTAGAATGGGGTAAATTATCTGACATAAAAAGAGAACCAATGAGATTTTACAGTGGAGGGAAAGATGGAGGAGTTGGGAGGGAGTCTGTAAACTTTACCTTCATTGAAATTGATTCAAAGAGGGAATAATTCACACACTCAGTTGGGCACAGAAATCTATCTTATCATACAGGAAAGAAGGAGGGAAAAGAAATAAGAAAAGGGGAGGGGTGGCACTGATAGAAGGGAGAGTGAACTGGGGAAGGTAAAAGTCAGAAGCAAAACACTTTTGAGAATGAACAGGGTGAAGAGAAAGTAGGATAAACAGGGGAAGGAAAATACATAGTAATTTTAACTGTGAAAAAAATTTTTTACAGCAAGTTTCTCTGATAAAGACCTCATTTCTCAAATAAATAGAGAATTGAGTCAAATTTATAGAAATAATAGCCATTTCTCAATTGAAAAATGGTCAAAGGATACGAACAGGCAGTTTTCAGATGAAGTAATCAAAGGTGTAGTCATATAAAAATGCTAGGTTACTACTGATTAAGAAATGTAAATTAAAACAACTCTGAACTACTGTCCCATACCCATCAGATTAGCTAATATTACAGAAAAGGAAAATGACAAATTGAAACACTAACAGACTACTGGTGAAGTTGTATACTGATTCATCTGTTCTGTAGAGCAACTTGGAACTATGCCCAAAGGGCTATAAAACCAGGCATACCTTTGACACAGCAATACTACTACTAGGTCTACATCCCAGAGATCAAAAAAAAAAGAAAAGAAAAAAAAGGAAAGCGACTTACATGTACAAGAATATTTATAACAGCTCTTTTTGTGGTGGCACAGAGTTAGAAATTGAGGGGACGCCCATCAATTAGGGAATGGCAGAACAAGCTGCTGTATATGATTGCGGTGGGATACTATTGTGCTATAAAAAATGAGGAGCAAGATGTTCTCAGAAAAATCTGGAAAAACTTACATGAATGGATGCAAAGTAAAATGATCAGAACCAGAACATTTTATACAGTAACAGCAATATTGTAGGATGATCAACTGTGAATGACTTAGCTATTCTCGGCAATACCATGATCCAAGATAATTCTGAAGGACTTATGATGAAAAATGCTATCCATCTCCTTCTTTCACAACATGACTAATACGGAAATGTTGCCCATGAATGTTTATGAATAGCCTGTTATCCAATTGCTTGCCTTCTCAATGTGGAGGGGAGAGAAGGGGACAGGAGGCAGGGATGAGAGGGAAGGCAGGAGAGAATTTGGGAACTCAAAAAATTTTAAAGGCCAAATGTTGAAAATTGTTTTTACATGTAACTGGGGGAAAAGTAAAATATTAAATAGAAAAACAAAAAAGAAAATCTTGAGAAGGAATATGGGACAACAGAGTATATCCTATATCCTCTGGGCATGTGACAAGCTTCACATCTTTGTGGAAAGGTGAATGCCTGTAAGGCCAATTGAGAAGAGTTAGTAAGATACCCACAGAAATGCAAAATAGGTTGTATGACTTTTTTTTTTTTTTTAAGGCCATTGGGGTAAAGTGACTTGTCCAGGGTCACACAGTGAGTGTCAAGTGTTTGGTCTGAGGCTGGATTTGAACTCAGGTCTTCCTGACTTCAGGGCTGGTGCTCTATCTACTGCATCACCCAGCCCCTGTGACTTTTTCAAAAAGGTGAATATACAATATGAACAAACACACCTGAAATAGGCATAATAATACTTTGAGCTAGGGGAGGTATGAGTGGTAACCATCCTCGTTTTCTTTTATTGGAGGCATCACATGATTGGAAATGAGACATCTGGAAGGAATGAGGGAAAATAGAACAATCTATTCAGATGAAGGAAAGAAAAAAAGGATTAGAAAAAAAATCAGGGGTTAGCCAGGGAAACAGAAAAATGAAACGAAGTGTTATTGGCTCTGAAAGACAGACGAATCAGAGAGTAAAATTAAGGAGCTGGTTTGGTTCAGATTCTTCAAGGATAATGACTCAGGAATATTCAATAAAGAGTTTTCTTTTAGTCTGTCTAGCTTAATTTAGTATGCCAGGAAGGTAATCGGTGCCTTAGGGAAGACACTATCAAGTAAAAACTAGTGGGCAAATGATTAGAATTTTGTTCTCTTGATCACCTGAGATGTGTGGAAAGGACGTAGGAGGAAAGAGAAGCCCAACATTTCAATAATAGGCCCATTTTAAGTTTAAAATTCCAAAACTCTGAGATAACAGACAATAATATTCTTAATTGTGTCTCATGCATACTTTGTTGTGTAATAATCACAACTGGTAACTTATAGAGGAGATCACAATAAAAAAAAAAACAAAAAAACCAAAAACCAGGAAACATTTTTTGGGGAAGATGAAGAATGCTCTTCTTTACTCTACAAGTTCTACCTAATATAGATTTAGAAATCCAAAATGCATTAAAATTTTCAGAATTGCTTTACAAAATTTATTTTTTCTGTCACAAATGTATTAGAGTTATTACATCTGTATTTCCTAATATTTAACATTTCAACTAAAAGACAATCCTGTATAAAAATCCATATTTTAAATTCAATAAGAAACATATAAGTTTTACACGAGTTACAAACCTTTGATCTATGAACCTAACATATATATGGCAGGTTGTATGCTGTCTCCCTTCTCTCCCAGCCATTATAGCCAACAAGGCTGTCAAAGGCCAGCAGTGGCACTCTGTGGTAAGTATGGGAGATTGTCTGATTTCCCTTCCCCCAACTCAGGAAGACCTAAGTTATAAACATGTTACATTTCTTCCCATCTGGCTTTTGCCATGAACAATTTGACCTCAGGCAAATTTTATTCCACATATAGATCTTTTTTTCACTCTAGCTCCTTATCTCTTTTCTATTTACCTCTGGAAAACTTTTTTATCTCCTTTTATAAGCTAAGAATGATCTCAATTGTAGCTGATGAGTTGAAGAGAAAAATTAATCATCATATCATTGCCACCAACCTATATAACTCTTGTAATACAGTCTATAGACTCCATCTACTTCCCTCTCTTTTCCTACTTAAATTTGTTTATTTTTCAAGCATGAGCACTCAAGATAAATAAAAATTAGTTTATCATTCTTTTTTGTTTTAATGAGTAGAATTTTTATTTTTTTCTTTAGTACAAATGTGCAGTCTTGTACTTCTGTTTAAATAAGATTTTATCAGCAAGCCTGGGAACCTTGTAACACTATTTCTTTTAAAAATGGCTTCTAATAATATCCAAACAACCAAATTATAAATCAACTTTTGGAACACAGCCTGCTTGCAGATGAGGATTTCCTGTGCTACTAAGACAAACACACAAAAGGGAAAACAAAAGCCAAGGATAATACCTAATAGTCCCAAGTTCTTTTTAGGTAATATTTCTATTTAACCAAACTTATTTCTGAAAACAAAAACAACAACAACCCCCCCCAATAATCTATCCCTCTGCATAAACAATTAATTATAGTCTATCTTGACTAAAATTGAGAACTGCTAACTTTGTAACATTACTTGGTTATGATTGCAGGGAAAAAAAATCATGCTCTCATTTTCATCCAGCACAGCAAGATGTTTCATATTCCACTAAGTTTTAAATGAAAGGGAACAGCATTAATACACCACCTTTTAAAAAAAAATCTTTTTTAGTTACTGACATTCTCAGTAGATATCATATTTTAAAATTCAGATTAGCTTTCTCTATATCACTCCACACAATTCCAGGCCACCTTCATTTACTGTCAATTGGTAAATATTTAAGACAATGTAAAATTTTAACACCAGCCTAAGAAAAAGATAACTAAGAAATTATCTGTTGGAAAATGATAATAGAATTTATGGGGCTAGAGGGGACAAAAGTAATTATTTGCCTTCCAAAATAAAATATACTATACTTCCTACTGTTATGGATAGTCCTTCATTAACATTTATCAATCAAGGTGACTACTAATTTCAGAGTACATCAACTATTTTTCAAGTTTTCAGTTATTTCTTTCAAGTCACTACATTCTTTAGTTTTTTCTGCTAATTTTCTCATGCTATCTAAAAGCAATTTTTATTTGTATGATTCTTTCCTTTCAATTTCATTTCCTAATGTATTTTATCAATTTCTTTAAAATTTCTTGATTACAAGCTAAACACAACAAATCAAAATGCAGATGAGTGGGAATGATGTTCATTATTATACTGATATTCCCAGAAACAAAAACATTTTTTGGAATACCCAACACACAAGTAATTTTAAAAAAGCCAATAATACTCATTAAGGAATACTGTGGAATGAGTATTATGAAAATTGTGTTTTAGAATTTTTTCCATTTATTAATTTATCCCTTGTATTTATGAAGTATAAGGATACAGCTCGTATTCTTTTATAAAGCTCCTAGAAGACTACTGTAATGGCCAACCACACAAGATATATTTATAACTCAAGAAGTAATCCTTAAAGTTTAAGAGAATCTCGTCCTAAGAACACAATTGGGCAGTGCCCAGTTTACAATGCAGTTCAAATGAAAACAAAAACAATCCTGGGGCACACTTTATTATAGAAGTGAATTGCAGTTGAAAGGTCAAACCACACAGGAATTTTTATAGAACTGAATACTTAGGCTATCCAGACAACATAAGCAATAACTATGATCAAGACACGTCATAAAATGTCTTTGAAATAGATCTCTGTTTATAATGCTCTTAAGTAGGGAAAGGTCTCACAGAAACAGAATTTTAGAGCTGACAAGATCTCCTGATCTAATTCCCTTATTTTACTGATGAAATACCTAAAACAGGTGTGATTTTCCCAACTTTACACAGCTAGCCAATAGAAAACTGTGTGACATCACAGGTTTACTCACTCCCATCTTCTCACTTTCTTTAGGATTCAGCCATATTTTACAATCAATTCATTATTACATAAATTACCATAAGATGTGCCCCTCCACTATGTTAACATCAATATGGAGTAATAGGATAAAACGACAGCATTTGTCACAAGTGCTTCCTTGGGCTAAAAATACAAATATTTAAATTTTTTTTTCTAGTTTCGCTCCCTATGCTTCTTAGCTAATCACTTTAAAGGGCAATTTCCTAATTCTGGATTTTGTGAAAACAAGAGGCCTTCTATGACATTGTATTCTATGACATTGTATTTTCATAAATGTCATTAAGAATATGAGATTCATGCTGGAAAATAGATCACTTTGTAAACAACCCAGGGATAATCAAAGAGTTTGTAATAATCTTATATAAAATCATGGCTTCTAAAAAGTTTTATTCTATCATAGTAACTTCAAATGTTGTGAAACAGTTTTCTACAATCTTGAGTTTTTCTTCAGATAGCAAGTTTTCTTGTTTTAGCTGTCCTATAAGAGTTTCTAGAGATTTGAGTCTTCCTAGAGTTTGCTGCTCTTGTAGTTCAAGAAGGGTTATCTTTGAATGTAGTTTAGTAACTTTTTGCCAAAGAAGTTCCCTGTTAATATCTTGCCTGCAATAAGAATGCTCAGTTTGTAGTACTTCAATTCCATAGTCTGTGTCGTCGTATAAGGAATCTTCAACATCTACATCTTCTACATCTATGCTCTCTTGTTCTGTTGGCATGACTGAACTGGTGGATGGCTTAGAGCTTTCAGCAGGCACTAGAATGGTAATAACTGATTCTTCGTCTGTGTTCAGCTCTTCAATTGTCTGAGTAATTGTACTTAGTAAGACAGTATTTTCCTGTGTTGACACAGAAATATCTGTGATATCTGGATTACAGAGATGGTCTATAGCTGTTTCAACTACATTACTGGGTTCCACAGAGAGTTGCACATGCTCTGGATTTGAGACATTCAAAGTAGCAGCTGTAGTATTTACGAGGTTCTCAAGAGATGTATGATAGCTACTAACTTCTATATCCTGGACAACTGCGCTTTCTAAAACAGGTTTTGGCTTTTCAATACATTGTGGAATGGAAGAATTTATAGTTAATGTGCCATTATGTGGATTTTCCATACTAGCAACTGGTAGCTTATCCTTTTGTAGTGGTTCACACAAAGAAGATGAATAAAGTAAATTTGTACTTTCATCAAATTTTTCTGCGCTTACTATATTTTTCTTTGGTTCCATTTGTGCAGATAATTCTTCTGACTTTACCATTAAGCATATTTCTTTCTCATCTTCTGCTTTTTTTTTCTGAGGCTTATTTTTTGCATGGTCTTTTTCCTAGAAAACAGTATTTTCAAACTCAGCAAGTTCATTTTTCAAAGTTTATTGAACTAAACAATAAACACTGCTTATTTTATGAAAAATAACATCAAAAAGTACATTGTCAAAGAAAAATTTATCAACACTTAAAAATATTCTACTAAATACCTAGTGACTTAGTTAATATTTGAAATGTTCAAGATATTTTAAAAAATTTTCATGTATGGAAAAGAACAGATAAATATAGTAAACTACTTAAATCTAGAAGTGCAAGTTAAATATTACTTTAAAATCCTCTGATTGTCTTTGGAATAAACTAACTTAGGCAAACATCAGGAATCATCAGGCAAGTAGTTAATAATGGAATCTCATTCACTTTTAGTGTTATCCTTAGGGCTAAATCTCCTTAAATTATTTGAGCTGTTGAATTTCTGCATGAATTAAAAAAAATGTATTGTCATCATAAAGGAAAAAAAGATGCTTTCTATATATATGTACACGCTTTAGAAAACTCATCCTTTTTTGGGTGGGATATTACTATGAAATATACTTTTCTTAATGCCAACCTTTGTGCCATAGTTTAAATGAAAAGTATTATAATTAAATGAAAAACAACAGCAACAAATACATTATCCCCGCATTTCTTAGGTGAGGTATTTATTTTGTAAAAATTAGTATTTTTCTTTTACTAATTTTGTCTCCACACTTCATCACAAGATATGTAGGATTACCTATAAGGTAAGTAAACAATAATCTTACTCCTCCTTCTCTGACAACCTCAGCCACCTTTTCAATTCCTCCCAAAGAAAGAGAAAATATTACCTGACTGTCCTCAGGTAAAGAAAAAATTGTTGGTACAGCAGTTTGTTTTAAATATCGAATGCCCCATCTGATGTCAAGAGAGTCAGGAGTAAAATGGTCACTGCACAGGAACTGGTATTTACTGGGAACCCACGTGTCACGTTTCATATTCCGCAACCATTTTTCAAGTCTCTCTTTGTCATGGAGAGGAAACCTGGAATTGAAGAGAAAAAGCATGGATTCTAAACTCAGATGATCTGCATTCAAATCCTACTTCTAACTCATACCATGTATGTGACCTTGGGCAAGTCACTTAATTTTCTTGGGCCTCAGATTCCTCATCTATAAAATGAGGGAGCTACTATGATCCTTTTATTAGCAACAGGAAAAACTATGTTTCACCAGTTTTGCCACATTCTATGCGCTCACAAAAAAACCTCATGGGTGGAAAATGCTAGGATTGACTGTGAAAAACCATACATCTTTTTTTGAATTTCATTATAAATTTCAGATTTCAATTAACCTTTTGAAAATGCTTGTCAAAGCTACTGTTAAATATAAACACATATGCATATACATATATACATGTATACATATACACACATATATGCATATACATGCACAAACGTGTATATATGAACATATATAAAGGCAGGTGCAAATACATCTCTCTCACACACACATACATACAAACACAAGTTCTAAAGGAGATTAGTTTGATACAGGTCAAGATTTATTTTAGAAAAGTAAACACATGGCACCAGGTTTTGATACTTTTTGGTATAAAAGCAAAGTAAATTATTTAGAAAAGACTTTTAAAAAGATAGTTCCTGAACATCTGGTACTTGTTATTAGCACGCTTTTATCATGTACAGTATGTTTTATCAGCTGAATTTAGCTTGTGATAAATTCTGAGAGGAAACATATTACTACCACTTTTAAAGTTTCAAATTTTAACAACTGTTAAATATATTTTTCATCACAACATCCTAAGTTCTTATTATTGTGATAATGTTCATAAAATATAGAGCCCCTAAGACAAATGTTACAGAGGTGTCTATTTATGAACATTCACAAAATGATCTTCTGCTGCCACCCCTTTAAGATGGCATAATCTTGCAAGGTAGCTCTGATTGCTACAGCTAGGAAAGACTGATATCCCGAAAGAACCTCTCCCTTTGGGATATCACTATCTATATAGCTTTCCTCACTTAGTACTCTCATTCTACTTTATCCTGGCTTCCTACCTCCAGTTAAACAAGCTATTTGACTTTTCATTCCCAGTCTAGCTCAAACTCTCAGAATTCCCATCCTTTCTCCCACTCAACAAAATCTCTGGGAGGCTTTCCTTATCATCAGAGCATCCTTTCCCCTAAGTGTAGGCCTATTGAGAGTCAGGCTCATGGTAATGAGAGCTCTTGACACTAGAACCTAATCCCTTCCTTACACAACATTGTTTCCACAGCCAAAATCTGTTATCAGTTATTACATTTTAAAAGTGAATAAGGATTTCGTGAAGACTTTTTCTGTAAACTTAGTATAACTTTAGCTAGGAAGTACGAGACATCTGCCAAAGATTTCTTGTAGAATGCATATACTTAAATATTTATTGAACGAATGAATTTCTCTAAAGCCCTAGGTTGGATCAACTTAAGTAACAGCTTATCTTATTAAACTGGACCATTTGCCTCAGATAACTCCTAAAAAAGCAACAAATATATCCTTAATGAATCACTATACCAAATAAGAGACCATTAGAAGCAAAAAAAGTATCTTTATTACTAAGTTTTAAGAGTAATGTACAGGTGTATTTAATGTGCACACAGGTATATAAAATTAGATGATGAGAGTTACATTTATTTTCTTACTAGCACCAAACTTTAGGAACTGGATTTGCTGTTGCTAATCTGATAGCCACATTTTGGCTATCTTAACTTGAGACAACTATTACTACATGTGAATTTGCCTAGATGCAGAGTTTGCACCGAAAATAGGGAAACTGTGCACTGAACAATCTGTTCCTAAATCAATACCTACCTTTATTCTCTGCTTTGAAATAGCTACTGTCATGCCAGTAGAAAAGGGTTAAATTAAAGAAACCAACTGTTTGTCACTGTTTGAATGGATGGGGGAAGAGTATATGGTCAGAATTCATGTCCACCTTTGGTCTATCTCTTTCCTTATGGTAAACAGCCTCATCCTCTTGGCTTCCTGATTCTGTCAATGGCACCATTATTTACCAAGTTATGAATGCTTGAAACTTTTCCCTCTCCCATACCTGTCACAGACAATCAGTTGCAAAGAACTCTTTATTCCAACTCTGAAATTTCTTAGATATCCTCCTTTCTGTTTCCACTACCACCAGAGATGGACATAAGACTTTACTGCCCATTACCATCTTACTACAGTATCTTCCTTACTGGTCTCCTGCCAATATACCAATCATACTGATGCCAAATAGATTTGATCATGTTTTTTCTGGGCTCAAAATGCTGTGCTGGTTAATTACTACCCGAATACCATGTAATCCAAATTCTTTATGCATGGTGCAGTGAAAAGAGCACTGGATTTGGATTCAGAGGCCCAGAATTTAAATCACATCTCTCCCATTTACTATACCTATAAGATCTTGGATTAATCACTTAACCACTCTGGACCTCAGTATTAATTTGTAAATTGACGGTATTAGCCTAGGTGTCTTTTCCCACCTGTGTCTTTGCCTATACCTTTCTTCATGCTTGGAAATATATTTCCTACCATCTTTGCTGGAAATCTTACCTAATTTTCAAGATCCTGTTCAAATTTTACCTCTTCCAAGAAACCTCTAATTCCCTGATTATTCTTCAACTCACTCTCAGTCAGAAATGACATTTCTTTTCTTGGACCATGCTTTGAACCAAATCCCATATGCTTATATTCTATTGTATTATAGCTGTTTATATATCAGGTGGCTCCTCTTTTGAGACTGCTTCATGATGGCACAGGCCACCTCTTATTTAATGTTTGCATTTCTTCCCTACTCTCTAACCCTAGCTACCTAGTACAATGCTCAGGACATAGTAGATGATTAATAGAATTAAGATGGGAGTTGTTGGACTGTTGGGTCCCTCAAAGCAACTCCAGTATTGCAAGGGAGATAGCAGTTAGTGAGTTGGGCCTAGAGTTTCTTTGAAACATGTGCTTAAATGCAATAACTGAAACTTGAAAGTAATCCTAAAAGAAAAGCGAACTTTCACTTATTTGCAACTCTTCTTCCTGGGTTACCAAAGGCCTTGCTGGTAATATGTGGTTCATATGTAAGAGTTTGAATGGACCTCAGTCTTATTTAGTCCAACTCTCTCACTTCACAAATTAAGCAAATAAGAGTAAGTGGTTCACTAATACTAATTCGCTGTTCTTTCCTCTGCACCACAGTCCCTTTAACCAGCACTTTTTGACCATTTAGGGCATTAGTAAAGGATGGAAAAAACTGGGGATCCCTAGAGTGTTTTTATCATTGAAAAAAATGTTAATGTTCTTGAACAAACCAGGAGTGAGAATCTCTGGGATTACTAAACATAGCAATTTGTTTCTAGAACTCTATGAAGAAAGCATGTCATGACTAGTGGAGATGAGTGACAGTCACATGCCTAGAATTGAGAAGGCTGACTTAGGTTAATAGCTAAGTGAAAATATACCTTTACGATTTTGCTCCATGATTCCAACGTTTACTAACCAATTTATTGATTAGGTTTCCAGATATCATGATACTTTGAATGAGCTTGCCTTGACCAATGCATATTTTTAGGTCTTTTGTGATAGACGTAATTCACACACTAAATTAATAAACTGACATCCTGATAATAAATCTGTCTTCTGTTGAGTTTAGAGCAATGCAATCCAATTTTCCTATGGTCTAATTACCCTGGACGATTACTTAATGCTTGCTGAATTGAATAAACTGAATATTGAGTTTCTGGGCTTTTAAAGCTGAAGTTTAGAAAGAACTAGGGCTTACCCCTTCTTTACTATACAACCACTGCAATGAATTCATGCAATTTACATGGTATGTTTACAATTATCAAGGCATGTCCTATGATTGGAGCTACAGTGACCCATCCTGGATTATGTGTAAAACACTATACTAAAGAAAAACCCATCTTGAAATAAATGATTCAGTTGTGTCTGATTCTTGACCCCATTTGTGGTTTTCTTTGCAAAGATACTAGAGTGGTTTGCCATTTTCTTCTTCAGCTCATTTGACAAATGAGGAACCTGAGGCAAACAGAATTAAGTGACTTGTCCTGGGTTACATAGCTAGTAAGTGTCTGAGGCTGGATCTGACCTCAGGAAGGTAAGTTGCCAGACCCCTCACTCTATCCACTGTGCCACCTAGATGCATCATCTTGAAATATACCACATATAAGTAACCTAACATCTACGTAATATATTCCCAACTACAGCTTCCCAATCAGTGATTCCTAATCTTTCAGGACAGCTGACAGCTTATTTCCATGTGATTCAGTGGCTTCCTTGTTCCTAAAAGTTATATATAACTATATTTAACTTTAAAATAAAATGAACTTAAATAATTTCCTTTGGAATGTTTTAGGTTTGAAGGGAGGATGGGAATAACTTTCTAAGTACTCTGGAGATAACAGGGGTTGGGCTATTCTAGAATCAGTCTCTGGCTAATAGCAACAATTACTATACGCCATACATATTATAAAGTTTATACTATAACAATAACAAAAAAGATGCACCTGTCTTGCAAGCACCTAAATGATTTGCAAATATTGCTATTTATGTGTAAAACATATATAAAGAAAGAAGTAGGATTGATCCTTAATTTACCAACACTTAAAAACTAAAATGGCAGTGATGGTGATATGATTAGGAATCAAAGTTGTCTACATTCACTGACATTTACATACTGCTTTAGGATTTGAAAATCATTGGATATCAATTTTATCTCATTCGATGCTTGCAATAACAGTATGAGATAAATTCTACAATTGTTTTTTCCCATTTTACAACTAAGGAAGCTGAAGATCTGAGAGGTTGTGACTTGATAAAGACACAAAGCTAGAAAATGCTTGAGGCAGGAATCAAACCCTATTATTTCTGACTCTAAGGCCAATGCTCTAATAACAATGCTACATACTTATCTGACAATGTCACCCCCCTACTAAATTAACTCCAGTGCTCCCTATCACCTCCAGGATCAGATCAAATACAAAATCCTCTGGCATTCATAATCTGACCTCCCATCTATCTTTCCAATCTTCTTTCACCTTATACTCTTCCACCAACATCCCCATCTTCCAAGTGCTCCACAGACACTGGCCTCCTTGCTTTTCCAGACATTCCATCAGCAGATTCCAGGCATTTTCACCAGCTTTCTCCTATGCCTTCCATATTCTCCTTTCTCATCTCTGCTTCTTGGCTTCCTTCAAGTCCTAGCTAAAATCCCACTTTCTACAGGAAGCTTTTCCAGATTCCCCTTAATTTCAGTGCCTTCCCTTCTGTTTATTATTTCAACTTTATCCTGTATAAAGCTTGCTTGTTCATAGTTGTTTGCATGTTGTCTCCCCATTAGACAGCAAGTTCCCAGAGAGCAGGGACTCTTTTTGCCTTTCTTTTTATCTCCAGTGCTTAGTACAGTACCAGCCATACAGTAGGTGCTAATAAATGTTTACTGGCTGACTGGCAGACTAAACTGTGTCTTTCATCCTATAACTTTATTTCATTCTATCGCCAGAATACAAAGGAAATAGCAACCAAAGTCTACAAGCACTGGAGAGTGAAAAGCAAAGTGAGGTTAAATAATCAACTAAAAACTTCATTAAAGAATAAATCATGTATCTTTTCAATGTTCTAATTTTTTCTCAAATACATGTTATACTCCGAACTGGGGCCAAATGCTATCAATAGCATGGTATCTTAAATGATGTACATTAAATTTTGATAGCATATTTAAGATTAATGGTAAAATAATTTATATTTTGTGGTATGTACAATTCTTTAAAGCAGTACTGGATTAAATAAGGTTATGATAGTGAGATCAAAGTTAAAGACGAGTTCAGAATTACAACAGATCTGATGACACCATTTCCCTGTTTCAACGCAAAGAAAGTATCAAGGGTTCTTCATCTGCAACGTAATCGGCAATCCTGAGCTTGACCCTACTCTTTTACATTTCTAGAAAAAAGGCTTGAGAAAAAAGTAAACAAATAACACCTCTACATTGCTTTCTCTTATGCCTCTTAATGTTGTTCCTGAGCCCAAAAATTACATGTAAAAACGTAGAAATTATCTGTATGGAAAAATCTTTGGAAATTTTAAGGTTATAAGACCTGTGAGAATATTAGTATTAATCTGATCTCCTTAGCGGGTGTCCTCAAGTACAATTTGGATCACTAAAGTCCACACTGTTGATATTTACCGCTACTAGTTTCTACTATATTCAACAATTAAGCCTCAAATAGCTAATTAAAACAAAGAAAGGCAACTAGCTACAGTATTTAACAGTCAAATTTGCTCTGCGGCTTCACTGAGCTCCCAAAGCATAATGTGTTTACATCAAATGTAGTCCTGGGAGCCATACCAAGAGGAACACGATGTACGATCCTCCTAGAGATAAAGGCTACGACACTTTATATTTTTTGATACAAGTCAAGTTTTTAGTTTGACAATATTCCACCAGTCTCATCATGGAACAGAAGGGGAAAAGCTATGGACTGGGAGCCTCAAGACGTTCCACAACTTGCAGGGATGGTAGCCTTTACCTGGCTTCTATCCCGTGCCTCAGTTTCCTCATCTACATTAGGGAACCTCCTACAGTTCCTGCCCGGGTAGCTTCACAGCTATTATGTTGTGTGGATGAAATGAGATACGTCAAAGCGCTCTGTAAATGGTAATGCGCTTGGACACATTTGATTGGAGACCTTCTTACTCGCGGGATGGGGGTGGGGGAGGGTTATCCTAGGCTCCGCAAGGCCAGTCTGAGAGCAAAGAAGGGGAAGCGCGTTCTTTAGGCGGGGGTGGGGTGGGGGTGGGAAAGGGGCAGCTTGAAAGTGACGCTCCTCAAAAGCCTCTTACAGCCCGGTTGCAACAGCCCCGCGAGGCTGCCGTCAGTCGCTCCTTCGGCTGGGGACCAAAACGCAATCAAGCCACTAGGTTTCATCAGGTACCAAAAGAGAAGGCCAGAAGGGAGGAGAGAGAGAAGAGCGAGCGCACGAGAGACCGAACGCCAACACCAGCCTCAGGCGCCGGCGCCCTCCCCCAGGAAGGCGGAGGAGATTGGAAGGCGCTTGTTTCAGGGGGACAACTTACGGGTAGAAACTCAGTTTCCGGTCTTTATTGTTTCGTCCTCGGCGGTTCTTACAGCTAAACGCGGCGCAATAACGGGGCATTGCTCCCGTCAAGCCGCGTAGGGGCTAAAGGGGAAGAGGAGTACGAGAGACGCAAGACAACCGCGCCGCTAGCAGCGACTGGCAGGCCGAGGCCGAGAGCTGATCCGTGAGGGTGACCGGGCCCGCCTCAGAGCTGCGAGACCTTCCCTGGCGCGAACGAGGAGCCTACTGCGCCGGCTCGGAGGCTGATGGGAGTGGGAGGGGAAGGAGGGAGGCCCAAGAACTGTCACCGCCGCCGCACACCCACTTCCGTCTTCCGTCGGACCTGAGATCCCGCCTCCACCTCGCCCTCCCGCGTGCCAGGCCGGAAGTGACTCTGAGAGAAAAGAGGTAACAACAGTTTTCCACGTGCGCTAAAGGCGCCGGGAGTCAGGTGGGGCGACCGCAGCCAATGGAAAAGCGTTTCGTGTAGGACTCTGCCTGGTGCGCGCTTGGTGTTGGCTCGGGTTGCTTGGGATCGGCGGCTCTGGGACCCGGAGTTGGAGCTGGAGCGAGGCTGACGTGCAGCGGCGGCGCTGCGCGTCTGGGAGGAAAGGCGGGTAGTCTGGCGCCGAGGAGAGGACCCCCGCGGTCTGGAGGACTAGGGGGGCCACTGCTTCGTCTTCGCTTCCTGAGGGGAGACGGAGCGGCTGAAGGTGAGAGTGAGGAAGGCAGCGGCCGTGGCAGCGGCGACGGTGAGGGAAGGAGCTCTGGGCGGGGGGATAAGGGAATGAACTTGGAGTTGAGGTAAAGGGGAGGGGGCGATGCTAAGAAGCCCTGCCCGGGGCTGGCGGAGGCGCGGGAGTTGGGGCGTTGGGCGGTGGTCCGTGGCTGAGCACCTGATGGGCCAGTGCGTCGTCAGCTGAGCTTACCCGGCACAGGCCGAAGGCGGGGGGTGGGGACTGGGGGGTGAGGCTAGGGGAGCTGGAGTAGAGAGGCTGGGCGGAGTGCAGGTGTCTAATTTTCTGGGACCCGATGCTCCTATTTTTGTCTGGGAAACATCACCTCGGGAAAGGGCCCCAGCCTGGGATCCGTCGCTCGGCTCTGATGCAGCGATGTTGGCTCAGTGTCTACATTGTGAGGTTAAAGGGCTCGTTTGTCAACAACTGGGAGGAGGCCCTTTGCTGGTCCGCAGGTCCTTCCCAGCCCGTAGAGACCATTAAAACTGCGAATGGGGAGTCTAGGCAGACATCCTTTTGTTTTGGACGCAGTGAAGTGCATACCTTGCCTGCCGGAAGGGCCTGGCTTCCAGGGCTTTTCTGGCTTTTTAAGCCCTCACAGTGGCTCATAAACAATCTACAATCCAGTTGGAACAAGTTACTACGTTTGTATTCCTTCTAATGCAGGAAGGTGTACTTTAAACCGGAGTACTCGTGACTATGAGTAATTGGGGGGGGAGGATTTTTCCACCTGGTAGTTAAATTGGCAGTTTCAGTAATCTGTAGTGTTTTTCATCATCATCTCTGTGGTTATATCACCTTAGGGTATTTGTTAAGCGCTGAGGTGCAATGCAGTGCCCAGGAGACGTGGTTTTTATCTGTGAATTTTTCAGTTTAAAAGTTTTAACGTATATACATATGTGTTATATACATATATATATACACACATGCATACATATATGAATACATACATATATATGTGAATGGATTCTTGGCAAACTTTTTAAAGTAGGAATGTTTGTGAAATACTGACATTCTCAGCATTTTTAAAGCTTACTGTTATGAATATGTTGACATCTAAATAACCAAATAAGATTTTGTTTCAGCTAACCCTAAATGAACAAAACTTACAGATTTTGCTGAAGATGCCATTAATGTGTGGTATTTGAAACTGAAGTTAAAACAAAAGTGGCTCTCTAGCCTGTTTATTTTTATGTATCAACTTGTGGCAAGAGTAGCTGACTGATCAACTGGCAATAGTAGCAAGCATAAGTAGCTGCTTATGTAGCTTAGATACTTGAACAGTTTCGTAAAATATAAAATTTTTGTTCTGTAATCAGTATGATGAATTAAAGAATTACCCATTTGCAGGCAGGGGCATTTTAATCATCGTTTTATTTCCCCTTGGGCTTAGAACTGTGTTCTACAAATAGTAAGTGATTAACAAATGATAACTGAATTGAAAATTGAAACTAGTGAATTCCCAGGGAGGAAAGGTTCCATAAGGGTTATGGGAAATTCTAGCTCGTGATGGAGGAGAGACATTTCTTTGACCTGAGAATGAATGCCATTTTTATAAAAGGTTCCAATATTGGTCTTTATTTAGTATTAATTAAGGAAAATTAGCCACTGAGTATTTACTGAGTGCCTGTCTTACGAAGAATACTATGCTGTGATACTATTGGAGGTTATGTAAAAAAAAAAGCTCCATCTAAGAACTTAAAAATTTGAGGCTAGACATATACAATTGAAATATTGCATGTATATAGCTTTTGAGGTTTGCATATCACTTGGCCACATTTGATCCTCACAAGGCCTTGTAAAGTAAGGCTAGATGGAATTGTTAATTCCATTTAATTAATAGTGATAGAATTGATAATTCCACAAGGATGGAATATTCCGATATTAAAGATGAGGAAATTGAGACTCTGAGAAGCGAGTAATTGATGTATTCGTAGTTACATGACTAGAAAATGCTAGAGATGGATTTTGAGTCCTTATGTTTCCACAATACCATACCTAAGAAATTTTATGGCACTTACAAAACAGCATGTGAGAGTTGTCATAGGTGCAATAAGTAACATTTTAAAAAATATGGGTCTTTTAAAAAATAGATGCTATCAGTATACTTTTTATGGTGAAAGTGCCTTGAATGCTATATTTGTGAAAAAATTAACAAGATAATAGATTTAGAGCTGGAGTGAACCTTAGAGCCCACAGAATCCATTCTTCTCATTTTACATATGAAGAAACAGGCTTAGAGAGGTAAAGTGACCTACCCATGGTAATACAACTAGCAAGTATTTGAGGCAGGATTTGAACCCAAGTCTTCCTAATTCCAAATTCAGTTTGTTATCCTTTGTGCCAGGCTGCCTCTCAATTTTAAGAGCACTTATGATAATAATTATCTAATGTAATTATTTTCTTCTTTTCCAGGGTCATGAAAATGGCTACTCCACAGGCAGTTTTCACCTTTGCAATCTGCATTTTAATGATTACCGAATTAATTCTAGCTACAGAAAATTACTATGACGTCTTAGGAGTTCCAAAATCTGCATCAGAACGCCAAATCAAGAAGGCCTTTCACAAGTTGGCCATGAAATACCATCCTGACAAAAATAAGAGCCCTGATGCTGAAACTAAATTTAGAGAGATTGCAGAAGGTAATGAATACATAGAAATAGCTTCTATTGATTGATGGGTTTTCTCAAGTTTGTGGGATGTATGGGTATTCAGAAAGAATATTTGAAAGACATATTCTCTGTAGGATTTGAGCATTGTCATAGAAAGTATCTGGTAATAATTCACATTATTTTATATAGCCTTTTAAGATTTAGGAAACATTTTGATCACTTAAGATAGGTAGTAGCAGAAATATTATTGTCCTTATTTTACAGATGAGGAAGCTGAATCTCACAGAGGTTAAGTGAATTGCGGAGAGTCACACATCTAAATAAGAAATTGTAGATATCTATCCTACTGTATTAATTGCTACTCAAAGATATTTAAAAATATCTTTATAGGAATTTTCTTTTTCTTTTCCTATTTCCTTTGGTAGTGATAAATTTTAAAATAGTTACAAAGTAGGCTGTACAAAGAAAATAAAATGGTATATCTTTGTTCCCTAAGTTCATGCTCTGACTGTTTTGGAAAAGAAAACTGTAAAAAATTGTCAGCAATGAAAACACCTAATTATCTGAAAATAAAAAGTTTACTTTTAGAATTCATATACTAGCAATATTTTGGATTTTTCAAAGTATGGAGTTAGGAGTTTCCTGATTGTTACCTTTTCAGTACTATAGATAGCTGGCCTCATAATTAGGAAGTTTCTATGAATATTTACTTTCTGGTTCATATGTATAGCTAGGTCCTGGTTAATGTGAATAAGGAATCCCATGAAGTGGTTGAATTTTTTTGAATCAGGACTATTCAAAGCTATAATTATATAAAATATAGTCATTGTTTACAGTGCAATGGAAATATACTGTGTGCATTTGAATAATTGTACTTCTTCAGGGGATTTATTATTCATACAAATCAGAACCCAGCTGTATGTGAAATACATCTTGTATTAAATACCATAGAAGGAGATTGTTCAATCATACATTAAAAATGCACCTTACCTAATGTAATGAAATACTTCCTGAGTAGCATATGTCTCTATAAGAGGTAGATAGGCACAGTGAATGGAGTAAAGCTTGGAGTCTAGAAGGCTTGAGTTCAAATGCAGCTTCAGATACTAGCTGTGTAATGCTGGGAAGTCACTTCTGTTTGCCTCGGTTTCATCATCCATAAAAAATAGCACCTACCTCCCAAAGCTGTTGTGAGGATTAAATGAGATAGTAATTGTAAAATGCTTAGCATAGGGCCTGACACATAGTAAATGCAATATAAATATTAGCTATTGCTGCTATTGTTATATGGTTTACAGGAAACTAGATTCTTTCAGTGAAAGCTTAGGGAATGTTGTATATAATCATATTTTAAAATGAAACTCAACTTCTTTTTCAAAAGAACCAAAATGAAGTACCTGAGGATACTCCTGCTGATACAGAATTCAGTCCTTTATCCCCTTTTTTGAATTGAATGTGATCAAAAAGCATTTACTACCTGTTGGTTGGTGTTCTAGTGACTCTTCAAACTTAGGTCATACAAACTTCAGTTGACTTCCTATGCCTGGGTCTACAATCTAAACCTTTTAGGATTTGTGTAGGACCTGTCTATTGGCATAGCCTTAGAAAATCTAGGATCCTCTCTGTGCTATGATGAAACCTTAAAGTAAAACTTTAATGAAAAAGCATAGTGTGAGGGAATATATTAGAATGTAGATGGCATGCTATGGGAAAATCTGATATATAAAAACATCAATGAAACATAAATTAGGAGTGGTCATTCACTGTCCACAAACATTTTATATTAAGTGCCTGTGTTTGTGGCACTTTTGTTATTGTTCAGTCGCTTTCAGTTGTGTCCAACTCACTGTGACCCCATTTGGGATTTTCTTGGCAAAGATACTGGAGTTGTTTGCCATTTCCTCCTTCAGCTTATTTTACAGATGAGGAACTGAGGCAAACAGGGTTAAATGACTTGCCCAGAGCCACACAATTAGTAAGTATCTGAGGCCATATCTGAACTCAGGAAGATGAATGTCCCTGGCTTCAGGCCTGGCACTTTATCTACTGTACTACCTAGCTGCCCTATGTGGCACTTTACAGTTAGCAAATAGAAAGTGATAGGTTCCCATTAAATTAGAAGCTTTTACCAAATAGTAAGTGATAGATTCCCATTAAATTAAGAGCTCCTTGATATATTTGAAATGATTCAGTAGTCAAAAAATTGTTTTTTAAATTCTGTGTTTTAACAACGTATGTAAACCTACGTTTTAGGTTCACATATGAATAGGACCTAAAGTAACATAGCTAGTGGATGCACATTCTGTAGTTTCTGTACATTCTGTATATGTAATCTCATTTCCATCAGCAAAAATAGTGTTTTTAAGATATTAAACATTTTGTTACTAAATCTAAAATGAAGTTTTCTGTTATCCATGCTTGGGTTGTAGATGGTCAATCACTTCCATTTCTTTTCATTCTCCTTAAAATCTTAGATTATAAATCCTGACACAAACCTGGAGAATAGATTTAGTGGATTTAGAGGCAGCCAGTGATGCAGTACGTAGAATGCTGGCGTTGGAGAAGGGAAGACTTCAGTTCAGATACAGCCTTAGACACTTATTGTCTGTGTGACCCTGGGCAAGTAACTTAACCTCTGTTTGCCTCACTTTCCTCACCTGTGAAATGGAGATCATGATGGCATCTACCTCACAGCATTGTTGTAAAGATCAAATGATGTAATATTTGTTTTTTTTGAAAAAGTGCTCAGCGCACTGCCTGGCACATAGTATATAAATGCTTATTCCCTTTCCTCTTTTGTTTTCTATACTTTTTTTTTCCCAGTTATAATTTTTGATCCTCCATTGCTAATGGATTCTTCACTTTCTACTATGTTCTAGGTCCTATCCTAAGTTCTGGGGTTTTAAAAGAAAGGCAAAAAAAGTTCATGGTCTTTGAGAACTTATATTTGAATGAATGAGACATAAATGATTAAGTTGGTGTAATATATATGCAGAGTAGATGGAAGGTAGTCTGAAAGAGGGAGGCTTTAGCATCTGACCTCCTATGAAAAGATGGGATTTGAGCTATCTTGAAGCAAGTCAGGGAAGCTAAGAGGTGGGGGGAAGAGGCAAATCATTCCAGGCCTGAAGGAGAGCCTGTGCAAACATGGAACTACAGGTAGGCTAGCATCCAGAGATCATAGAATGCATAGAAGGAAGGTGTAAGATGACTAGTAAGATAGGGAGGATTCAGGTCATGAAGAGCTTTAAATGCCAAATAGAGGAGTTTGTACTGAATCCTGGGGCTAATTCAGAGACTTACTGAGTAGATCACACCTATGCTTTTGGGAAAAAAATCACCTTGGCCTCTGAGTGGATGATGTATTAGAGTGGGGAGAGACATGAGGCAGTGAGAACTAAAAGTGAGCTATTGCAGTAATCCCAGCAAAAGGCTGTGAAGTCCTGAACTAGATTTGCTTTGTGAATAAAGAGAAGGAAGTGTATACCAGAGATATTGTGAAGGTAGAAATGTCAAGATTTGTTAACAGATTGGATATGGGAGCTGAGAAAGAGTGAGGAGTCTAGGATGACACAAGGTTGTGAACTTGGGTAATTGGGAGGATAGTGGTATTTTCTACAGTAAAAGAAATGTTTAGAAGAAGGAGACTTTGGGGGAGAAAGATGAATTGTTTTGGATATGTTGATTTGAGATGTTTAGGGAAATGTAGTTTGAGATGTCCTAAATGCATTTGGCGATTTGTGACTAACTTAAAAGAGATTAGGGAAGGATATATAGATCTGGAGACCAGGAGCCTAACAGTGGTAATTGAAATCTTGTAAGCTGCTGAAATCACCAAGTGTAGTAGTTTAGAAACAAAAGTCGAGAAAGCTCAGTACACGCCCACCAACAATGGGAATTCCCCATGGATAAAGATCCAGTAAAGGGACTGAGAAGAACCATAAAGAGCAGTGTTATAAAAACCTAGAGAAAAGAGAGTATCAGGAGTGGAAGGTGATTAATGGTGTCACATCCAAAAAGTTCAAGATGGATGAGATTTGAGAAAAGCCCGTTACACTTTGCAGTTAAGAAATCATTGGTAACTTTGAGGAGACATTTGAGGTTGGAGGCCAGATTGAAGAGGATTTAGAGATCGCAAAAGAGTAGAAGTAGAGGCACCAAATGTAGAAGGCTTTTTCAAGAAGTTTAGCTGAGAAGAGGAAGAGAGATATGGAATAGCTAATGGGATCAAATGAGAATTTTTTAAGGCTAGGAGAAGACGTGAGTGTGTTTGTAGACAGTAGGTAAGGCTACAGTAGATAAGACACTGAAGAAAAGAAAAAGCAGGGATGAGAGTGGCAGTAATCTTTTGGAGAGTTCAGGAGAATATGGTATCAAGGGTACATGTAAAAGACCAGCTTTTTTGTATCAGAAGGGAGTGAGGAAATAGTGGAGGAAGATGGTTGAATGATGCAAAATGAAGTCCTCTTCAGCTGCAAGAGTGTGAGGAAATGAAAGCTTGAGGGGAGATGAGAGTGTTTAGAACAGTCACTGTGTATATTTTGGTGTAATGATTCCTACTTAATAAGATTTTCTCTACTTAAATAGAACTGTTAAACATAAGTATTACTTAGACTTCATAAATTCTACTTTGGTGCTGAGTCATCATTTCACCACTGTTGCTGACTTAGTAACATGGTAAAGTGAACAAAAGAGCACTAGTCTTGAAACATCTTTAAGTTCTCTAAGCCTTAGTTTCCTCATATGTAAAATGAATGTACTAATATTTACGCTGCATGCTTCACGATGTTGGTTGTAAGAAAAGCAAGTTGTGAATCATGATCTGTGATATAAATATGTGCTATTCGCTATCTAGAAAGATAGTAGAATTCTGCTTTTTTTGCATAAGGGACCTCTCTAAAATTCTTGACCTAATGGTTCTTTTACATTTTAAAGACACATTTGGTTATTTGTCTAGTTGTCTATTTATCTATATGAATGACAGGAAACAGTGCTGTTAATAATTCAAAATAGCAAATTCAGACAGTCTCCAACACATACACACACATACATACATACAATATATATTTACATACATACACACATATGTATGGGCATACATATGTATGTATGTGTATGTATATGTGTGTGTATCTTAAATGACACATAAATTTGAGCTCTTGAATCACTACCACCCAAGACATATGTTTTATAAAATATCCATAATGTCTTTAGAGTCATTGAGGTTAAAGATTTACTTTATTTAAAGGTTTTATTGTGTAAAATTTCATATTTCTTTGCCTTCAGCTTAAAAAATGCTTTTATCCCTTTCAGCTTATGAAACACTTTCTGATGCCAATAGGCGAAAAGAGTATGATTCACTTGGACATAGTACCTTTACTAGTAGTGGTGGAAATACCTTCCAGCAGTCATTCAACTTCAACTTTGATGATCTTTTTAAAGACTTTGATTTTTTTGGTCCTGACAAAAACACTCACACCAAAAAACATTTTGAAACTCACTTCCGAACACGCCAGGATGGTTCCAGCAGGCAAAGGCATCATTTTCAGGAATTCTCCTTTGGAGGTGGACTGTTTGATGACATGTTTGAAGATATGGAAAAAATGTTTTCATTCAATAGTTTTGACAATGCAAACCGACACACAGTGCAAACTGAAAAGAGATTCCATGGATCTGGCAAGCATTGTAGGACTGTCACTCAACGTAGAGGAAATATGGTTACTACATACACTGACTGTTCAGGACAGTAATTCTATCCCACCCTTATAAAGCCAGCTGATCGTTTCTTATGGATACAAATAGAAACAAACATTTCTGTGAACTATTTTGACAAAGGCATAAATTCACATTTTAAAATGCTTAATAAATATCATAAAGAAGGTGTATATAAAAGTCTTGACAACTTCACCAGGCAACTAGATAAAAATAAGCTAATTAAAATTTCCTCAATTAGGACATGAAAGAAAAATCTTAAAAATTTAACTGATTAAAATAAATTTTATTTACCTGCCCACAAATTCTTTCATTTGGTTAGATTTGTTAAAACCAAGAAAGGATTCATTAGTTTAATGACTAAACTTTGGATATTTACCTGACTTAAATTGTATATTAGAACTTAATAGACTCTTACAGTGAAGTCTTTAGTGACTTAAATTTGCATGACCTGTACTAATTTTCTTGATAATATACCTAAAATGTGGAATTTTGTTATGGAGAGAGCTACTTTAGTAAAACTGTCCAACTTCATTAGGCTTACCAGAGATAACATTTTACTCATGAAATTTAGGAATTTTGCATTTCTATTTTTCTATTGAATTTATTTCAAAGGAGAAAAGCATCATGGGATAGTTTAGTAGTGCTTTCCATGAAAACACTTTTTTAGATGTGGAATATGTATTAGTGAAAGGAATTGCCTTGTTCACATATATTTAGACTGATTATTTTGACAGATATAAAAGACGGTAGGTTGCCAAGAGATTGTTTCATGTTTGCTGAGCTACTCTGTATTTGTAATGGAACTCTTACCTGCTTTTCAGTGCCATTCATATTTCTTGAGTTTTTGACCATCTACTTATTTTTATGGATGTCCTCATTATGTCAAGTGCTTTTCCTTTTTCCTTTCATCCATCATTTGGTAATTAACTAATACCTCAATCTTTAAAAACAGCCAATGTGTGTACCCATATCATAATGTGCAATATTTTTAAATAGTGAGAAATGTATTTTTGTTTTTTTTTGCACAGACTTAATTTCTTTGTGTAACTTCATTGTGTAGTTTTGAAAAATTCAGTTCTTTACTTTTCAAAGTCATACTTTATATGAGTATTAATCATATCTATATATATGTTGACAAAGCTAGCACCTATCATAACACAGTTATATGTGAGTGAAACAAATACAATATTTACAATTTGAATGTTCTGTTTATTCTTGGTTACTAGTGTGAAGTGTATTTTAATGTAATGAAAGCTATAAAATCATTTGTCCAAAATTCAAGGCAAATGAGCTTCAGCAATTATCAGTATTTTACTTTTGGGGAACTAATCAAATATTTTTAAATGCCTGAAAATAGGCTTTAGCTGATTTAATTTATAGGTTACTTTGTTTTGAGACTAAGATTATTGAAAATGGGAATTTCCTTATTACATTTAGCATAATTTGCTGTTTATTTTCCTTGCTACTGTCCCTAGCCATTCAGTTTTGAGAATATGGCTAAATATTAAATATCAACAGTACTTCCGTATAAGTGTGCAGTTTTGAAACTATAGTAAAATTTCAACTGGCATGCTTAGGGAATTGAGCATGCTGGTTATTTGACTCAAACGCCTTTTCCGTAAATGGTTTTTAGAGATGGGAGACGCAGTAGAGATAATGCAGTTCACAAAGGCTAAAGAACTGTCTAGAGGCACACATCTAATTTCTGGAAGTCAAATCAGTACTGGAAGCTAGGTCTTCTTAATCTCTCTAATACTCTCTATTCTATCACAGTTTATTTGAACTTGTATTGATGAAAATCTTCCTAAATTGTGTTAGTATACGTTCCTGCCCTTAGGAGTACTAATGTGGGATGTGATTTCATTTTTCATTTAGGATTTTGTAATGCCTAAATGTAATCGTTATTATCAACTTGTATTGTTTCATAGTACTGCAGAATTTAGAAGAGGTTGGGCGGAATGTCTGCTGAATAGACTAGACCATGTATTCAAAGTTTCTTTTGTTAATCCTGAATATGACCTTGTTTTCTTACCATATTGCTTTTTCTCTTAAAAGCTGGTTCTGTTCCCTTTCTTGTGGTTTCACATATCTGCCTGCCAAATATCTGGTCAGTAGAAGGTTTTATTTAATTGTTGTTTTACTTTGCTTGTTTGGTCTAAGTGCCACAAGATTTTTCCCCCAATTGATGATTTTTGTGTTTTGGGGGAAGAGTGGAGAGTCTGCAATGTTGTACTTTTAGCCGTTCTCAATAACTTACATAATATGAGGAAGGTGAAGTATGCACTCAGTTCTGCAGTTAAATAAACAAATTGAAGGACATTGTGTCTTTTTATTGTGTGAGTAAGATACTATGTATTAGTCTACTTGGGACTAAGGCCATGCCCACATTATTCCAAACCAGTAGTTGAGAATGGGGGGAAAATTGACTTTACAGCCATGGGACTGCTTTAAAGAACTTACTGTTCAGTGTCAGCTATGTTGAGGACAACAAGAACAAGGAAAAATGATAGAATTTTTACTTGATAATATTAATGGAACAATTAAACTCTGGTATTTTCCTCATTTCTCCTTTTGTTGATTTCCAGCAACCACTCATCCACTGAGCCAAAGGTTGAGGTGTGAGGCAGCTTCATCCAGAAGAAAGTGGAAGCCCCTGAGAACAAGGGAGCAAGATAGGGAACTGAACATTAAGATAGGAATGGCAGTTGCAGAGAAATGTAAACTGTGGCAACACAAAAAAATAGATAAAGAAATATGCATTGGCAAAGGAAAGGCAAAGCTAGCTTTGTGGGTGATTTACTTTACTTAGAAAATCAAAAGAAATGGAGACAATAGCTTAAGCAAAGTGGCAGGGTGCAAGATAAATTCACAAATATTAGCATATCTATATGTTACAAAAACTAGGAAGAGGAAGAGAAATATTTAGAGAGCATTAAGTATTGGGTTAACCTACCAAGACAGAGGAAGCACTTGAGTAAATACAACTGCAATTAAATTTTCATAGAAATAAAGTTATAAATTAAGGCTTAAATATTTTAAAAATGATGCTACTATTAAATTCATGTATAGATAGAGTTTACATGAATCAAATCACCATAAGGTATTGTATGGACTTAAGCCCTAACACTGTATTACTGACACATCTACCTCCTCTGTTCCTACTCGTGGAGCTGGACAGTGTTCCCCAATGATGCTTAGTGGGTTCACTACAAATTTATATTATCCACTCTCAGTGGACTAAGCTGCAGCGAAATAATCCTTTTATCCCTCCCAAGTTCTCAATCACAAAGGCTGTTCCAAACCTCTTCTTAAGATGAAACTCTCTGCTCTTATTTTACCTAGAAAATCTAGGCTGTTAGGCTGTTATTACTTGGGAGCTCACTCTTTTCTACTCATTTCATCTCACAGTTCCTCTTCTCACATCCCCTTGACATCATCCCTCACTATTTCTTCCTTTAATACTAGAAGGGCCAAGCATGTCAACTGAAGGATTATGCTTATCGGTTGATGTAATTAAAAAATACTATAATTTCTCCTATCTCTTCAAATTTAAAAATAATATGCAGCTATCATAATTCAGCTTTGAAATACTTTTCATCCTTTAGCTTTATGGATTTAAAAATCGAAGTGTCAGTTGATATAGCATGAGCCTTTGAGGCATTGTTAAATGTTTTAATCTCGTTTCTGATGAGGAGATGGACCTTCTCATTGTAGCTAATCCGCTTTATGTACCCTTGCTCACATTCCTTTTCACCAGCAGATTGCCTCCACTATTATCACCCCCTCCTCCATCTTCAATCTTTTCCTAACTACTGTTTCCTTCTGTGCTGCTAGGGTTTCCCCCATCCTTAAAAAATTCACAATAGAACCTACCATTAGCTTTGTTGGTCTCAGGTTCCTCTGCCTCTTTGAAAATAAGCCTGCTCTCCTGGTAATTCTTGATTCACATATTGCAGAAGCCTGGCTTGCTGAATCTTAAGCATAACATTGCTGGCATGTGATATGTGCACAATTATTTGGTAATTCGAACATTTCTCAATATTGCCTTTAGAATTGGGACATAAACTGATCTTTTCCAATCCAGTGGCCATTGTTGTGTTTTCCAAATTTGGTGATGTATTGAATACAGCACTTTAAGAACGTCATCTTTTAGGGTTTTAAATAGCTCAGCTGGAGGTTCCATCACCTCCATTAGCCTTATTGTTAGCAATGTTTCCTAAGGCCCAGTTGATTTTATCTTCCAGGATGTCTGGTTCTAGATCAGTAAAATGGGTAAGAACCAGTGATTAGGATATGAGTGAAGGGAAGAGAAGGGGAACAGTGGAATGGAAATATGTCATTTCAACTGTAGATCACCAGCATTAATCACAGTCCTCTTTCACCACTCTCTTTCTTGTAGAAAGAGGACAGAGGGACAAAGAAAAGAAAACTAGAAGAGGTTACAATACATAGAAATTAGCAATTGTAATCATCAACATAAATGGGATGAACTTACCCATAAGACTGAAGAGGATATAAAATGGATTAAAAAAAGAACCAAATAGTATACTGTTTACCAGAAAAATACCTGAAACAGATTTAAATTAAAAGATTAGAATTTATTATGCTTCGGGTAAATTCAAAATATGCAGAGATACTACTATATACAAAAATTCAACTGTGTGTAACCCTTAAAGGCACTACTCCTACTCCTACTACTGGAGATCAAAGAAAGAGGGAAATGACTCATGGACATATAAATATCAATAGCTGTGCTTTTTATTATAATAAAGAAGTAGAAACAGAGTGAGTGCCCATCATTTGAGAAATGCCTAAGTAAGTTATGGTATATGAATGTAATGGAATACTGTTGTACTGTAAGAAATGATGAAAGGGATAACCTCAAAGAAACCTGGAAAGACTTGTATGAACTAATGTGGAGTCAAGTAAGCAGAACTAATAGAAACAATTACACAGAATTATAGTGATTATAACATTTTAAAGAAAAGCAATTGTGAAAAATTTAAGAATAGTGATCAACACAATGACCAATTCTGACTACAGAAGATATCCCAACTTGGCAAAGAGGTGATGGACTAAAGGTGCAGAATAAGACATATATTTTCACTTACAGCTGTTGGTGAATTTATTTTTTAAAATTCAGTTTTATTTTATTTTCAGTTCTGAATCCTCTCCCTTCTCCCCTACTCATTGAAAAGGTCAGGGAAAAAAATGCAAATATGTATAGTCATGCAAAGCAAATTCCTGCATTAGCAATATGCAAAAAAGCAAGAAAAGAAAATATGTTTCATTTTGTATTCTGAGTCCATTAGCTCTCTATTGGGAGATGGACAGCACATTTCATCCTAAGTCCCTTGGAACAGTAGTTGGCCATTGTGTTAATCAGAGTTAAAAAGTCTTTCAAAGTTGATTATCTTTTAAATATTGCTGTTATTGTATAAACTGTTCTTCTGATTCTGTTCCCTTCACTTTGCTTCATACTTTGCATACAAATCTACCCATCTAAAACCATCTCCTTCATCATTTCATACAGCACAACAGTATTCTTTCACTTTCCTATACCATTACTTGTTCAGCCATACCCCAATAGATGTGCATCTTCTTAGTTCCCAGTCCTTTGCTACCACAAAAAGAACTGCTATAATTATTTTTGTATATATGGGCCCTTTTTCTCTTTCTTTGATCTCTTAAGTGGTATAGACCTAGTAGTAGTGTTGCTGGGTCAAAGGGCATGTACAGTTTAATAGCTTTTATGGCATAGTTCTAAATTGCTTTCCAGAATGTTTGGACTAGTTCACAGCACCACCAACAATGTATCAGTGTACCTGTTTTCCCATGGCTCCTCTAACATTGGTCATTTTCCTTCTTTTTCATCAAATTTGTTTTTACATGACTCTGCTTATTTATTACAACAGAGGAGGGTTTTTTTTTTGGGGGGGGAGATTTGGTGCTCCAGTCAAAGGTCTGATAGTGCTACTTTAAAAAAGGAAAGAAAGAAAAGAAAATCACTAAATCATTAAAAACAATAAATGTAGGAGGGCAGAAGAAAGTTCTAAAGTGGACACAAACAGGCAGGGGACTGTATACCAGGTTAAATCTGAATTGCCAAAAAAAATGTATGTGGTATAAAAACAATGTGTGTATCACATAAGTTCACAGCTTCATATATCAATGTAGTTTTTATTGTTTTGCCTTTTATGTTGAAGTATTCATGTTTGCTAATGTATTAAGTTAAAAAAATAGAAAATTTAAAAAGGAAGTTCACTAAAGAAACCTGAAAGTTCTAGTGACTACAAATTCAATATGTGTGTGTATGTGTATGGGAAATAATTCATTTTACTGAATCTATGAAAATACGTCTTTGAGAGCAATGTAAGATGAGTGATTATAACCTGTTTATGGGTCTCTTTTGTAATGGATTCAAAATTCTGGTTATAATTATTGTGAACATGCTAGGAAACATTGTAAGTCTGATTCTGCCTTATAAAGAGAAGTAGAAATGTAACAGCTTTCTTTTTTTTAAGCAATGTAGTTAAATTTGTTACCCGAAGTGCATATTTGAATGGTAACTTTTCCTCTTGTGTAATTTGTATTGATCAAATGGAGAAACCATATAGAACAGATAAAGGAATACTAGATTTGGAATCAGAGAATGAGTTCCCTTCCAACTTGAAATCCATCATCCTATGAAACTATTTAGATTTTAAAAGAAAAGGACAGAAGAAAGAAGAATTGATAATTAAGAATAGATATAAAAGGAGGGTACAGCCATTTTGGAATGTGAGAAACATTATAGCACTGTAACCTAGAATGAACTAAGGACCAGAAAAGGTGCTTTAAAAAACAACAACAGCTGCACTAGATGCTGGAAATAGGTCAAAGAAAGGATGTGTGGGGTAGATAGAACAATGATCATGAACAATAGAAAGAAGTTAGGGCCATTCAAATCTTACTTTGCTTCTTTTAGCTCTAAAAAATAATTATCTTCTCAAAATAATGTATAAAACAAAAAAGTTCAGTAGGAGACTGAAACTCAAGATAGACAAGAGGGTGATAAGAGTACTAGGCTGGCTCTCAATGAATTCTAGTCAACAGGCCTTGACAAAGTTTACCATCAGGGTATGAATGACAATGTGATGTGATCACTGAAGAACTGCCAAAGAATTTTTAAAAAGTCTTTGAGGTTATTCTACTCTGCAGATTTGTGTTTCAAATAGGAATTTAAAATAGGTATGTCCATGTGTCTTTCCCAGGTTTGTCTGAAAGCATACTGCTTGTCGTTACTTATGGTACAATGGTATTTTATCACAGTCTCATAC